TGTGAAAGGTTTTTAGCGTAAAGTTTACAGATTACTTTTTTTCTTGAAACTTTCTATTGGAATCTCCTTTTAAATATAGAGCGGTTTTCGAATTAGTGTCGTAAAGCCAAAGCCAAACCAATGTGTAACCATTTAGACTACTTAGGCAATAACAATCCTTAGTAAAACCAGAACAAAAACCAAATTACTTTAGATAGACGCTCAATTGAAAAGCGGTATATACAATTAAGGTATTTACAAACGTACAATACTGGATCTATGATTCAAAAATGTATGCTTTTCAATATCAGGCAATGGACGGAATTTTTCCGTATACAGAAGAGCCTTCAGAAGAGTTAACTTTCATAGTTTTACCAAGAAATTATGAAGTTGTTTTCACTGTATTCTTGAGCCATTTTTATAGGTTTCGCAAGGAGTTTAACTGATATCTGAGAACTGGCTAAAGTTCAACTTATAGCTGACACCTGAGATCTGCAGAATTCCTAATAGCTCAGAAATGACTTGAAATCCGGACTGATTGCAGAAATCGCGGAAAAATAAAGTAATAGCTGAGATTCCTGCACCCAATTATGGATAAGCGGACCCCCCTCATGACATGGGGGTAATATAATACTATTGTATGGCTCCTCTTAATTTCCACCTTAGTTTAATGAAACTATGCAGTTTTTCTAACCTAGACGGAGTTAGGATATTGCTTACTCCACTTTTGTGCGAAAATCGTTTCTCATTCGACGATTCACGAGGGCATTAAACAGTAACTGCTCACAGTCTATGGATCGCAGGATTTCAAAATAGAATTCGAAACACGGATACAATGTACAAAGAGAACGACTGGACTTAATTATCCCAGACAATTAAAGAGAGACATTAGATGGTTATGATTCAATTGGGTACTGAATCCCAAATGACTGAAATCTTTGTACTGCCGTCTAGCCAGTTACTTTCAGTTTTCAAAATCCTGTCTCAAGTCAAGTCGCTGTTCAGAGATGCTTTATATGGCGCCGTGATACTCGTTGTCACCGTTTCTGGTCTTCGAACAGTTCCATCATGCGTGGCGGTTGGCAACTTTACGGAGACTTGTTGGAATCACAGGATTTCCATATCGATGTATTTATTTCACGGTCTTTTTTTTCAGACTTGGTTACATTTCCGTTACCTTCAGGATTGTCTTACCCCACTTAACACCGCGCGCAGCTTTCACCATGGATCATGGACTTTGTTTCCACGATGGATGAAGGCTGCTGCAGATGTAAGCCATCTAAGGAGCTGCTGCATGTATCAAGCGTGGGGACGGAGAAAGACTTTTTAAACATAACCACACTGGGTGTTCGTTGAATAGAATATAAATCTTCAGTTAGATTGCAAGATACTGATCTTGTCAAGCGTTGGGTATGTTTTCCCTCTATGTGCCGCTCTGACGACATAAATGGATCCTTTGGCCTGAAAAATTGAGCGGCACCAACTGCTGACTTTGTTTCTTGAGGCTTTTTCATCCTTAGCAGTTCTCGAATAGCCTTCCTAAAACGGTGGTCTCTATAACAGTAAAGTAGTGGATTGAATAGAGAGTTCAACTGCGTCACTAACTGTGTAAACCGCACGGCGGCATTTGTACGAAGAAGTGGTACAACGTTTCCTAAGATAGCAAAAAGAAATATTGGGATAAATGAGGATATTACTGCAGCTGTTAATAAACCAGTTGTCTTGGCAACTTTGGACTCCAGTTTTGCTTTCATTAGAACGTCGATTTGAGAGATTTCATTCAGTTTCCGATTGCGTATTCCAAGGTAAACCTTTCGGTAAAAGAGTGCAACAAGAAATAAACAAACAGTTTCTACAGTAAACCACATGGCCAAAAAGTTATTCAAAATTCTTCGGTCCACAACGGCCATTCTAATAGAAACGTATGCAGCCGTTAGGAAGAGCGCAGAGAGCCAGGTACCTAACGCTATTTTTTTGAGGCGTCCATTTGAGATGATACGCTTATAGTCCATCCATTTTTGTACCGCCACGTACCTCTCCCAAGCAATGATAGTCAAGTGATGAAAAGTAGCTGTGAATAGTAAAGGCATGAAGTGAATAATCACCAGATTTAACATACAGGTATACTCAAACGAAACTTGGCGTAATGTAAAGAAATCAATTGTGGCACATGTCGGCATAACTATAACGCCAACGAGAAGATCCGAGACGGCCAGACTTGACAACAGAATGTTTGAGGGTTTTTGCAGCTCTCTTCTTTGCTTTATAGCTAAGACTATCAATGCGTTCAAAATAATGGTGGGGAATGAAGCCATGACCGTTATTAGGCCTACAATCACGTGAAAAGCTGAACCACCGACCTCCCATGATACGTGCGGTGGTTCCAGGGGACAATACGTCGATCTGGATAAACTTATAGTTGTTTGGTTGTTATCCAGGTCCATGCCGCTGTAAATGCTTGAAGAATATCTTTCGTTTAGATGCAGGGGACTTTAAATAACCAACCACACCTCTTTCGATCACG